GTAGACGGTCGACTGAATGGGGATCGCGTCAGAGAGCCAATGTTCTTCGAGTACTATTGAACGAGCCAAAGTAATTGGCGTGTGTGATTCACATCACAGACTCCGCCCCCGCGCGCGGGTATAAATGCGGAAGTGGATGCACGCACCAGCTGCTTTTTCGCTGAGGAGCCGAGAGTAGCCCAGAGTCAGCGGTGGTCCAGCGTTAGTGGCAAGGGGACTACGTCCTCCGTTCCCTCCTTCAGGGAACGGTGGGTTGCATACGCAACCAGGACGTTCCCTTTCAGTCGATAACGTCAGACGTAGTCGATGGTCGACTGAATGGGGATCACCTTTGAAAACGCCACTAAAGGGGGTCGCACACCGGACGAGAAGCGCAGCGCCGCGTCGCGCAGCGCCAGGTCTTTAAAATTCGAACACATTATTCTCTATGAGTGTACACACACCGGCGGCGCCATTCGGCGTCTGTCCGCGGCGCCCAGCTACGGCTCAGGACCTTGTTCAAAACCCTGCCGCGCCACAGAGCGCCATTTGCATAGTTTTATATTAAATTTACATTTATTTGTCTCAAATCGTCGTTAATGTACATGGCTTCACCCCGTGCTGTTTTCACTCGGGTTTGCTAAACGCTAGCTAAATAAATATTATTGTATTATGTGACATAGTTGCCTAGACAACGGATAACGTTACAACAAAATAACAGACTCAACGTGATAGACACTTTTACTTGATTAACGTTCAAACATCAGCTATTATTCAATGAACATAAAAAAATAAATAATTAATCAAGATAAAACACACATCGTGCAGCTCTTCTACCAGTAGTTGATTCAAAATTGTGCTCGCGCCATTAGAATGTGCGCGTCCGGTGTGCGATACCTAGAGTTGTCCTAGACGTGACGCGACGCGGCGCTGCGCTTCTCGTCCGGTGTGCGACCCACTTAAGGCTGCCACCTTCCAGTGCCTAGACAAAAAGCTTCCTGATGCCCCCGCTTATTTTAAGGCGGGGAAGGACAGGGCTTAGGCCAGGGAAGTCACTGCTGTTCCTACAGGACCACTGGGAAAGCGTTCCTCGTACATTGGAAGGAAGGAACGCTGCGGAAGCCACATCCAACCCGGAGGGAGGTAACGTGGAGAATACACATATGAACTGGGCGGAAGACCGGGCAGTATGACGTATGGAATGTCACTGGGGTGGCTCCAGCCTAAGACAGGGGGGAGACTCACCAGACAGTGACGGCAGAGCAGACTCTGCCGAGGGAAGACACGGGCTCACCGAAGGGAGCCGTATCGTGGAATACACATATGGGATCACCGTAAGGATCGCAACATATGATATGGGCCCCAGCCTAGCACAGGTTTCATACTGCTTACGAGTGGTAGGCCTAACACCGGACGTCCCGCCACGTCCGATGTCGGAGGGGTGCGGAGGAACTCAACAGGGTTAAGTTTTAAGGGAACTCACTGGAGTAGAATGGCGCACGTATCCAGTCCATAGGAGTGGAATGGCGCAGCAAGCCGACACTTGAACCGGGCTCCTGGTGAAGCTGGCTTCATGAGAAGGGAGCTCATGGAAGCAGCAGTTCAATCTAGGTGTCGCCCAGCCCCCAACTCTAGAAATCTGTCAGCAAAGCACTCACTCAACGCCCAGGCGGAGCACACACTCATTATAGAGGAGCTCTATAACACCTAAGAGGACATGAGCATCTCGGAATTTTAACCGAATTGAAGGCAGCCACCATCAGTGGGCCAACTTTGCTTGGAAACAGCCTTCCCTCTCTGCTGAATCCAACAGATTAGAGTTGGTCTGAGGACCAAGGCTTGCGTTCTGTACACGTCTAACCGCTATGAAGCGGACGGACAGAGAAAGCCAGGGCTGGGTCTGCCTCCTCCTGGCAGCGCTTGCAGGCTCACCACCTGCTCCTATTGCGGGAGAGGTAGGAACCTTGGGCACAATCCAGGCCGGGGTCTCAGCTCGTGAGAGTAGCCGGCGTGAACTCCAGGCACAATTCGCTGACTGAAAGCGAGCAAGTCCCTACCCTCTAGTAGAGACCATGCAAACAGGAGAACTGTTTTCACAGAATTTAACTCACTGCCTGCAGTGGCTCTGAGGCGGTCTCTGCAGTGCAGTTGCACCAGAGATAAGGCCCAAGAGGATAAAGGGGAGCTCAAGGAATTTTCCTTGGCTCCCTCAAGTACCTGACGATCAGGACGTGCTTTCTATGCCTCTTTCTATGCACACTACCTCTTTTTTAGGGGGTGCATGCAGAAGTGATGGGAACTACCACATGTTCCTGTGATAGCCACCTGAACCTCCGCGTCCAGTGTAGGACCGGCCCGGGTGTCCAGGGGTCAGGACGCAGGTGCCATCATGCCCCGTCCCTGAAAATGTGTTTTCCAAATCTTGTTATTTCGACATAATATGTGTGCGTGCATAAAGCAAGATGTGCATTTGTAAATCCTGTGACAGGTGTGCATTGATTTTTATTAATAAACTATTTTTTTCTGTGTCAGCTGCAAGATGAGGTTGACGATCGCCATCTCCGTGAACACGCCTATAGAGAAGAATTCACATATTGGATTACATAACCAGGGAGTAACCTATTTCTTTTCGTTTTGAATTGTTTTGTTTAAAGACATTTCAAGCTTTATATATTTCTCATGTCTGTGAGGCATATGCTGAGTTTCGGTTAATTTATGATGAGATGCGCTACAGTTCACGTGCAATGCAAGTGTTCGCGCAGGGCCTCCATGTCATGATTATACTGTCTGCTATATTTGCTTCTTATTTATTAAATCCAGGCAATTGGTTGATGAAAAATTTATTAAAATTAAGATACAATTTATACAAAACGAAATTCACTTTAAAGAAAGGCTCTCTACAAAACCAAACGTAATAAAGTGGTCAAAATCATTTCTGACCCACTCAATGTCTCCCGATATACATCCTATCTTACTCATGCTGTTCACTTTTCATAATCAACAAAAATGGGGGAAAAAAATTATAATATTTTAACAAATATGAAACTAAATGCGCGTATTTAATGGCTACAACACGTATAGTAGGCCTAAAGACTCTATTTGTACGAATTGCTGCACATTAACTTAATTCTGAATTTTGCACGCATAAGTTGAAAGGCATTTTTTTGTGTATAGTAACACATATCTGCAACATTTATCAAGTTCACGGATAATTGTGCATGTATTTATTAATCATTATGATACTAAAATCATAATAAAGTGCTATACTATGTGCAAAAAAATCAGATCCTAAGCCAAGAATAGGCCTATTGACGCAACGCATTTAATTAGCCTACACATTAAGCATTTTCCTCCCAGGAAAACCATTATAAGAACGCTTGGCTTAATGCAGATTAGAATGTCCCAGCAGTTGTTATGTTGAAATAACGAGATATGATGTCGAAATAACAGATATTATGTCGAAGTAATATTATGTTGAGTTGTTCTGTATCGTCGCGTCGGGTATATGGTGGCATGATGGGGTTGTTGTTTTTTTTATTAAAATTATAAAAATTATTGTTATTATAGTATTTTTTATGTAGGCTACTATAATGTTTTATTTTATAAAAAAATGTATTAGCTTTTATTTTATATTTCCTGTTCTCGTTTAAATTTGAGTTCAATTTTTAGTAATTTGTATGTGCTTTGTAATTTAAAGTTATTTTGATTTAAGAGTTTACGATGGCACATTATTATTATTTTTAAATACTGATGTGCACAAATAATTAATTTATAACAAATACACTGTTATTCAATTAAAAAGTCAGTAAATTTTGATTGCATGATGACTTAAATAGTGAGTTCACCCAAAAATGTAAATTCTGTCATCATTTACTCACCCTCAAGTTTTCTAGACTAAACCTGTATGAATTTCTACTCTGTTTTCTTTTGAAGAATATGGGTAACCAAACAGTTGATGGGCCCACTTCCATAGTATTTTTTTTCCATACTATGCTATGGAAGTCAATGTACATCAACTGTTTGATTACCCATATTCTTTAAAATATCTTATTTTGTCTTCAGCAGAAGAAAGAAATTAAAATATTTTTTCCCATTCAGATGAGGTTCGAACTGGAACATACAGACAGCTGTTTCACCCAGAGCAGCTGATAACTGGGAAGGAGGACGCCGCCAACAATTATGCCAGAGGACAACTTTTACATCAAAGTACCGTCACTTCTCTGCAAAGACAGATTTCATCAGAAACACAGTGCCAAAATAGATCACTTTACATCTCGGAAACGTTGTAAACGGTGTTCTGATTATTTTAATAATATAATCTTCTACTTAATATGGTAGCTGTTTAAGGGTAGTTTGATTCAGTTTAGGATAATTAAACTGTTTACTAAAGTTTGATTGACACCAAGAAAGTCTTTCTATCGCAGACCTACAGTCAGGCTGGTCTGTTAATGCCACGTAAGCATTTAAACATGTATTGTTTAAATGAAAACAAAAATCAAAGGTTAAGTCCAACAAAACTATATCCCGAACCACTTAACGGAGCGCTCATGGAACAGGTGGAGTGCATCTTTGGTCAGTTTTAACCCAGAAGTCCTAAATGCAAATATCATCTCATCATTACAGTAACAATAGAGGGTTTCCTCACAGATACAAAAGTACACAGTAAAATTGTCTTATATGTGCATAAGAATCTTTTTTCTGCCTGTTTTTGAGTATCAAATTCATTTCCTTATCATTTTCAGTCAAATTGTTCAAATTCAAGCATTTGGACTGATGTTAATATATTGTTAAACAGGTAGGTCCACACAAAATCTGTGCTGATTATTTATTATTAACAAAATTCTGTGGACTGGATTACAATTAAAATGTGTTAAATGGAGCTGAGATTAGACATAATTACATCTGCCTAAATATTTAATACAACTGGCAGAGTTCTGTGGGAACAGATTCTGTGTGGACCTGCAAATGAGTCAGAAACCCACAGCTGTTTAAGAACAAAGTGCATCTAAAGAAATGTTTCACATTCTAATGGAAGAGATCAGGCAGAAGAACATCATTGAATTATGAACCCTGCCTGCGGAGGAAGAGCAGCGCCGGGGCCTTGAGGGTATGGACATGAATATGACGGCACCATGTTTGGCAGAGGAGCACTGATGCTCTGAGAGTTGTAAGGGTGTGACGTGGCTGATGATCTTACATGAGCTGGAGAACCATTAGCTAGCCTTTGGAAAGGTGCGCTGGAGTTAAGGGTCTCCTGAGCTTGTGAAGCATCATTACAGGAACCCTGAGGAAGATGAACACCCTTCAGCACCATCTCCTGTAGCTTATCGATCTTCACACGCCTCAGATGCGCCAGCGTCCTCTTGCTCTGGTAGTATTCAACGAAGCTGTCTAGAGGCAACGATCCATCCAAGAATGAATCGACCATGTTCTAGAAAACGTGGGAGAATCTTAAGACATTACACGTCTCATAAGAGGTAAAAATCAGCAAATGATGTTATGCATAGGAAAAATGTCCTCACCTCCGTTTCTTCCTCGATCTTGGCTCCTTCAGTTTGCAAAAGAGCCAACAGCGTGTCTAGTGAACTGTTCCCTGAAAAAGATCCGATTTAAATCATGATTACATACAGAACAAACTTAAATATTTTGAAATGCTGAAATTCACTAAATGGCATCCAGTTGTCTCCATTAGACTCACATTAATAATGCATTCTTTAACTGGACAGTTATTTTAGAAATACATGTACTTGCATATATCGTCCTCCATATAATCACAAGTGTTTCCAGAAGATTATTGTTGATCTGGCATTCTGTTAATCAACAGAGTTCATAAGGTCATCCGATATGGCCACGCAGTCAGAGATAATTTAGTTAAAAGCAGGTCTCTGCTATATTCATATTAAAGTTCACCTGAAATCAAACTCCCAGAAAAGTAAATGTTACGAGAACCATGTTGTTTGCGTTATTAAATCTTGATTAAAAATAAATCTGTCCTCACCTCTTAGCCACCGGAGAAGGTAATGGTCGGTTTGATTGGACAGTTGATCCAACACATCTGCTATTTTCTCCTGAAACTGACCAAACAAATGACATTGAAATATAATATTTCTTTGACATGCAGGGTTAACTCTGAAGATTAGTATGCTACTTACATTTTTATATAATGATAACACTACTGTTCAAAGGTTTGGGGTCGGTAAGATTTTTTATGTTTTTGAAAGACGTCTCACCAAGATTGCATTTATTTGATCCAGTGAAAACAGTAATTGCGAAATATCATTACAATGATTTAAAAATATATATATATTACTATAATATTGTAATAATGCACCTTAAAATGTAATTTATTTATAAGAAAATTATTAATTTTCAGCATCATTACTCCAGTCTTCAGTGTCACATGATCCTTCAGAAATCATTCTAATATGCTGATTTGATGCTCAAGAAACATTTATTATTATTATTATTATCAATGTTGAAAACAGTTGTGCTGCTTAATATTTGTGTGAAAACGTACTCGGTTACTAACGTAACCTCGGTTCTCTCTAGAGAGGGAACGAGTACTGCGTAATAGCTTACGCTAGGGGAAAAACTCTTTTCCACGAGATATTGAAGCCAAAAATTATCCTTAATTTTTTATTAATGTAAAACGCTTTGCAGCAGCAAGCAGACATAGGCGAAACAGCTCGCGCGCCTATTGGCTGCTCTTGCAGCAAATGCAGCAGCCTATCGAGAGAGACTCTGCGTGACGTAATGACCAATGGGGGCAATTTGCGCCCATTTAGTCACGTCCCGCCAGAAAGGGCGTGGTCTCACCCTATAAATATGCTTGTTAGGCTGGTACAAGCTGGTTTTCATCGCTGAAGCGAACCAGAGCATATTCCAAGCACGGCAAGATACGCAGTACTCGTTCCCTCTCTAGAGAGAACCGAGGTTACGTTAGTAACCGAGTACGTTCTCTTACGAGAGTATCTCTCGTACTGCGTAATAGCTTACGCTAGGGGAACACAATGCAACACGCCGTGCGTACAGGGATCCAACACCAAAGTCCCAAGGGCCGAAGCCCAGGGCTCATGTAGTGCATAATCAGCATAAACTCACATAGAGTGGAGGAAGAGAGGCTGGAAGCGTCATTCCCTATAAAAAAGCACCCAGCGGGGCTATCATATGACAATAAAACGCGCAGCCAGGGTGAAAGCTTTCAGCCTGATCTGGGTGGCCATACGTGTGTCAACACTCATGGGGCTGCAGTAAACTCAGCATCTGGGCCGCACAGCGGGGCAGATAGCACTGAATTTTAGACCGCCAAAGGTTTAGCTTGTAAGGCGGGTACCTCCAGGTTATAGTATTTTATAAATGTAGACGGCGAGGCCCAGCCCGCGGCCGTACAGATATCTTGCAGGGAAACCCCGCTCGACCATGCCCACGAAGAGGCCACGCCTCTCGTGGAGTGCGCTCTGACACCCAAGGGGCACTGTAGGCCCTTTGCAGTGTAAGCGAGCGCAATGGCATCCACTATCCATCTGGATAGGCTCTGTTTTGAGGCGGCAAGTCCCTTGGAACGCCCGCCAAACAAAACGAAAAGCTGCTCCGTCTGTCTGAAAACAGACGAGCGCGACACATAAGCTTTTAATGCCCTGACGGGGCAAAGGAGACTCGCGTCCTCCTCCTCACTGAGAACCGGAAGGGCGGACAGTGAAATTACCTGGGCCCTAAACGGTGTATTGAGGGATTTCGGCACATACCCGTGCTTAGGTTCGAGAATGACCTTCGAGTCACTAGGCCCAAACTCCATACACGACGCGCTTACTGAAAGCGCCTGCAAGTCCCCTATGCGCTTCACTGAAGCGAGAGCCATGAGAAACACTGTTTTGAACGACAGGTGTTTCATGTCCACCGGCTGGATTGGCTCGAACGGGGCGCCTTTCATGGCCTCCAGGACCGTGGAAAGGTCCCATGTCGGGACTGAAGGGGGCCTGGGAGGGTTCAGCCTCCGAGCTCCCCTAAGGAAACGCACGACTAAGTCGTTTTTCCCCAGCGACTGGCCAGACACCAGTTTTGCAAACGTTGCTATGGCCGCCACATATACTTTGAGCGTGGATGGGGTCCTGCCCTTATCCAGTAGCTTTTGAAGGAAGGAAAGCACTTCCGAAAACCCCGCATTCCACAGGTGAAAAGCTCTGGGCTTGATACCATGCAGAGAAAACAGACCATTTCGAGGAGTAGAGCCGCCTGGTAGACGGAGCTCTAGCCTGCGCGATCGTGTTTAACACTCCTTCTGGGAGGCTAGCGGGTACCCGTTGATGGCCCATGCGTGCAGGGACCACAACTCCGGGCGAGGGTGCCAAATCGAGCCCTCCGCCTGAGAGAGGAGGTCTCTCCTCAATGGTACAGGCCATGGGGCAGTGCTGGTCAGCTGCATCAGGGCAGGGAACCACGTCTGGTTTGTCCAGAGCGGAGCTACGAGCAGCACTGGGCATCCGTTCTCCCTGATTCGTTCCAACACCTGAGGCAGGAGCGAGACAGGAGGAAAAGCATATAGGGGGCAGCGGGGCCAAACATGAGCCAGCGCGTCCTTGCTTTTCGAGAGAAAAACTCCGGGCAATGAGCGTTTTCGTGGGACGCGAATAGGTCCACCTGTGCTCTGCCGAACGTTTTCCACAGCAGCTGGACTGTCTGCGGGTGCAGCGACCATTCCACTGCTGGAACATTGTTCCTGGACAGTCTGTCTGGTCCCACATTCAGGTGACCAGGCACGTGCGCTGCTCTCAGTGAGAGCAGGTTGTGCTGAGCCCAGACCAGGAGGCGTTCCGTCAGCCTGTGAAGGTTTCGTGACCTGACGCCGCCCTGGCGATTTATGTATGCCACCACTGACATGTTGTCCGACCGGACCAAGACGTGGTGGCCTGTTACCTGGGGACAAAAACGCCGTAGCGCTTTGTTGACTGCTATCATCTCCAAGCAGTTTATGTGAAGGAGCTTTTCCCGTTCTGACCACAGGCCAGCTAGCGGTCTGCCCTCGAGCAGCGCTCCCCACCCCGAGGTGGAGGCGTCCGTAGACACCACCTTCACACTCGAAGCGGTCCCCAGACTCACACCTGACTGATACCAGTCGGTTATTTTCCAAGGTTCCAGAGCTGAAACACACTGTAGGTTGACCCTGAGGCGAAACAGACCCGCTGTCCATGCCCTGGGTGGAACCCGCGCTTTCAGCCACATCTGCAGTGGGCGCATGCGAAGCAAGCCCCACTGGAGTACAGAGGCCGCTGAGGCCATCAGCCCCAGCATTTTCTGAAACCTTTTGAGCGGAACTATCGAGCCGTGGCGGAAGGATTTCGCGACGCGCTGAATATTTAGTCCGCGCTCTGGTGACAGGCGTGCCGTCATGGATAGCGAGTCTAACACTGTTCCCAGAAAGGAAATTTTCTGACTGGGAGACAGTGAGCTCTTCGCCCAATTGACTGTGAGGCCCAGCTCCTCGAGGTGCTCGAGTAATGCGGCCCAGTGTTCTATGAGCTCCGATCGTGATCGAGCTATAATCAGCCAATCGTCCAAGTAGTTCAGGACTCGCATGCCCTGAAGTCTCAGGGGTGCGAGCGCCGCGTCCATGCACTTCGTGAATGTACGAGGTGCTAGGGACAGGCCGAACGGCAGGACTGTGTATTGATATGCCTGGCCCTCGAAAGCGAATCTCAAGAATCGCCTGTGATGGGACGCTATTTGTATTTGGAAATAGGCGTCTTTCAGATCTATCAGAATCTTCAGAATTTCAGATTGCGCGAGGATTTTCCTTGTCGTAAGCATTCTGAACTGGCGCCTCTCAAGCGCTCTGTTCAGCTGTCGCAGATCTAGAATGGGTCTGAGACCTCCATCTTTTTTCGGTACCAGAAAATATCTGCTGTGTAGGCCCCCTTTGCTCTGAGCTTGAGATAAAGGTTCTATGGCACCTTTGCTCAGTAGTTTCGCTATCTCGGCTCGAAGTAGATGAGATACTTCGTTTTCCACCGTCGTCTCGACGCGCGCCGTATAACGGCGGGGACGTCGAGCGAACTGTAGCGAATAGCCTCTTTTTATAGTGTTCAGCACCCATTCTGATACCCCAGGAAGCTGTGCCCACACTTTCGCGTGAATAGCTAGGGGTAGAATGAGATCTGGGCTCTGGCCGAGACATAGTGACGGCAAGAGAGCTCCGGCGTGCTGTAACGCAGACACTGTGTTTACAGTGTGTGAGGCGGGGGGCGCGCCGATCGCGGCGGGCAGCCTGGCCGCGCTCAAAACCCTTATAGCAGTTTGCTGAGGGAGAGAGAGCGGGGCGAGCCCCGTGGGGCTTAACATGTCTGTGAGTGAATGTGGGCGCAGGACAGCGGGCACATTTACTGCACTGAAAAACACCGTCGGCCTGAGCTGACTGAATGCGTGTTGGTTTCGTTTTCACAGAACCTGTGGGACATGTGGTGTGTAGTGTTTGTGGGCACTGAGACGTAGGCACATCCACTACATTTAGTGCACAATCGACATGAGGCGATTTTGTTTGTGCGAGCCCTGCATTTTTGCGGGCTGTGTTTGTGTGTAGAAATGAGCCCTGGGTTGTGG